ACACGGGTGGTGATTGGCTTTCAGGGGAGCGAGAAAGCCCTGTGATTGGCCGGATCCCTGGAGCTCCCAGACGCAGTGAAAGGACGCGCCCCCCCAGGCCGGGTAAGCACCGCGGCTGTGCTGCTTGGCCCGCAGAGCTCCCAACTGGAAGCTGGGCAGCCCAGTCACACTGCTCCCTGACGTTTATTTGCCCTGTCTCCCAGTCAGTCTTCTGGGCCTCCCATCTGGAGAAAGCCAAGGCCTTGTTCCCAGGGCAGATGACAGAGTGGGCTCCACAGGCAGCCCAGCCGCCGTGCGGCACTGCGTGCTGGCCTGCCCCCCTCATCCCCCCCCTCTCTGTAGAATTGGCTGTGAAAGAGCCTGGACATCCATCTGGGGACGGTGGCATCTTCAGAGCGAGCGGCTGGAGCCGGACCATCGCCCCAGCTCTCTGGGGCAGGGGGCCGTGCCCGATCTCCAGGGCTCCTGGGGCCACTGCTGACCTGGTGAGACAGGGGCAGGTTGGGCAGGCCAGGCAGACATCTGCCACTCTGGCCAATCCCTCACTCAGATCACGGTCTCTTTTGCCCCAAACCAGGCTGGATGCATCGGGCAGTGGACTCTCCAGGGGCCCGCGCTGCACGGGAAGCCTTTGCCCTTGGGGGCCTGAGCTGTGCTGGGGCCTGGAGCTCCTGCCCGCCCCATCCCCCTCCTCGGAGCGCATGGCTGCCTGGAGGCAGGTGAGGACCTGGGCCCCCAGGCCTTCCTCTTCGCAACACCTGGTTTGTTTGTAGCGCCCATTCTGGATGTGCCACTCGTGGGTATCTGCCACTGGCGGTCTCAGTGGCTGTCCCTTCCCTACAGTCCCTTTCCCTAGGGGGTGAGACGAAACATCGTGCTTTACATAACAGATCTGTTGTTCCTTCAGGTGCTCGGCCAGCATCGGGCAGCCTCCCCTCTCTGCTCCCTTGCCCCCTTCACATGGCAGTAGCTCTGGGCATCCCAGCAAGTCATATTATGCCCCAGGGTGAGTGGGGGAGCAAAGGTGCTGAGGGTAGGAGGTAAGGCTGGGGCCTTGGGAGGCTCCCTTCTTCCTCAAGCTTGACCCCTTGTAATCTGTAGGACACCCGCTCCAAGACCCCTCCACGGGAAGCTGGAATCTCTGCATGGCTGTGTGCAGGCACTGCTGCGGGAGCCCGGCCAGCCAGGGCTCTGGGAACAGCTTGGGCAGTTGTACGAGTCGGAGCACGACAGTGAGGAGGCCGTGCGATGCTACCACAGTGCCCTCCGATATGGAGGAAGCATTGCCGAGCTGGGGCCCCGCCTCAACCGACTGCAGCAGGTATGGTGAGGTGGCAGCTGTCATGAGGCTGAGGGGTTGCCTCCTGGCTCAGCCCCTGCCTCAGGCCTGCCTCTGCTCTGACCCAGGCCCAGCTCTGGGGCTTTCATGCCGGCGCCTGCCAGCACCGAGCCAAGATCCTGCCCCCCTTGGAGCAAGTGTGGAACTTGCTGCACCTTGAGGTAAGGCTGGGGCTGCCTTCTGGGAGGGCCAGGGTGGAGCGGGCCAGGCCTGCATCCGTGCCTTCTCCTCCTGTTTTTGCCCTCAGCACAAGCGGAACTACGGGGCCAAGCGAGGGGGTCCCCCGGTGAAGCGAGCTGCTGAACCTCCAATGGTGCAGCCTGTTCCCCCCATAGCACTCGCAGGCCCTTCGGGGGAGGAGGGCCTTAGTCCCGGAGGCAAGCGCAGGAGAGGCTGCAACTCTGAGCAGGTAGGGTGGGTGGGTCTTAGGTGGGCAGGTAGGGTGTGCTGGTGGGTGGACGGCAGGCCCAGGGCAGGAAATGGGATCCTTACCCCCTTTTCTCTCCTAGGCTGGCCTTCCCCCAGGGCTGCCGCTGCCGCCACCACCATTGCCGCCACCACCGCCCCTGGCTGGCCTGGCCACCAGCCCCCCATTTCAGCTGCCCAAGCCAGGGCTGTGGAGTAACCTGCATGGAGATGCCTGGGGCACCGAGCGCAAGGGTTCAGTACTCCCAGAGCGCCAAGTGAGTCTCAGTCTAGCACTGTTCACCTCCCCCTTAGGAGTCCCTGCGACCTCACCCTCACGCCTCACCCGACCTATTCTCTCTTGTGTAGGAACAACGGCACTCACTGCCTCATCCGTATCCATACCCCGCTCCGGCCTACCCCGCGCACCCCCCTAGCCACCGGCTGGTCCCGGCTGCACCCCCAGGCCCGGGTCCCCGCCCCACAGGAGCAGAGAGCCATGGCTGCCCGCCTGCCACCCGTCCCCCCGGAAGTGACCTTAGAGAGAGCAGAGTTCAGAGGTCGCGGATGGACTCCAGCGTTTCACCAGCAGCAACCACCGCCTGCGTGCCTTACGCCCCTTCCCGGCCGCCCGGCCTCCCCGGCACCGCCACCAGCAGCAGCAGCAGCAGCAGCAACACTGGTCTCCGGGGCGTGGAGCCCAGCCCAGGCATTGTGAGGGCCCACTGGCCGTGGTGGGTGGTGGGTGGTGCTCCTGAGCCTACTGAGGTGGGCGTAGTAGCCATCTGACCACTCTCCTGTACTTGCAGCCCGGCAATGACCATTACCAAACTCCAGCGCTGGAGGTCTCCTCTCACCAGGGCCGATCAGGGCCCTCGGCACATAGCAGTCGGAAACCCTTCCTGGCGGCCCCTGTTGCCGCTCCCCACTTGCCCCTACTCCCTGGGCCCCCCTCACCCCCTCCACCCCCCTGCCCCCGCCTCTCACGACCCCCACCCCCTCCTGCCTGGTTGAAGGGCCCGGCCTGCCGGGCAGCCCGAGATGAAGGCGAGATCTTAGAGGAGCTCTTCTTTGGGGCTGAAGGACCCCCTCGCCCTCCCCCCCCACCCCACCCCCACCGTGAGGGCTTCTTGGGGCCTCCGGCTTCCCGCTTTTCTGTGGGCACTCAGGATTCGCACACCCCTCCCACTCCCCCAACCACCAGCAGTAGCAGTGGCAGCGGTGGGGGCAGCAGCAGCAGTGGCAGCCACAGCAGTAGTAGCCCTACAGGGCCTGTGTCCTTCTCACCCCCCTATCTGGCCAGAAGTATGGACACCCTCCCCCGGCCCCCGAGCCCATCACTGAGCCCCCAAGACCCCTCCCTTGCCTCGCTGACTCTTGCCCTGCCTCCAGCCCCGCCCTCCTCCTGCCACCAAAATACCTCAGGAAGCTTCAGGCGCCCGGAGAGCCCCCGGCCCAGGGTCTCCTTCCCAAAGACCCCCGAGGTGGGGCCGGGGCCACCCCCAGGCCCCCTGAGTAAAGCCCCTCAGCCTGTGCCGCCCAGGGTCAGAGAGCTGCCGACCCAAGGCCCTCGGCTCTTTGACTTCCCCCCTACCCCCCTGGAGGACCAGTTTGAGGAGCCCGCTGAGTTCAAGATCCTACCCGATGGGCTGGCCAACATCATGAAGATGCTGGACGAATCCATCCGCAAGGAGGAGGAGCAGCAGCAGCAGGAGGCAGGCGTCGCCCCCCCACCCCCCATGAAGGAGTCCTTTGCATCTCTGCAGCCTCCGCTTCCCACTGATGCAACCCCGGCCACCGCCTCCACCACGACCGCCGCTGCCACCACCGCCGCCCAGGAAGAGGAGAAGCCACCACCAGCCCTACCACCCCCACCGCCTCTAGCCAAGTTCCCTCCGCCCCCGCAGCCACAGCCGCCCCCACCCCCACCGCCCCCCAGCCCAGCTAGCCTGCTCAAATCCTTGGCCTCCGTGCTGGAGGGACAGAAGTACTGTTACCGCGGGACTGGAGCAGGTGTTCCCACCCGGCCTGGGCCCTTGCCTGCCACTCAGTATTCCCCCAGCCCCCCATCAGGTGCTACCGCCCTGCCGCCCACCTCAGCGGTCCCTAGCGCCCAGGGCTCCCCACAGCCCTCCGCTTCGTCATCTCCGTTCTCTACCTCAGGCGGGCCCTGGGCCCGGGAGCGAAGGGCAGGTGAAGAGCCAGCCCCAGGCCCCACGACCCCCACCCCACCGCCCCCACCCCTGCCGCTGCCCCCTGCCCGCTCTGAGTCCGAGGTGCTGGAAGAGATCAGCCGGGCTTGTGAGACGCTTGTGGAGCGGGTGGGCCGGGGTGCTGCAGACCCAGTGGACACAGCAGTGCCGGCCGACAGTGGGACTGAGCGGCCGTCACCTCCCTTCCAGGCCAAGGAAGAGAGTGGGGGGGTGGCAGCCGCAGCGGTTGCGGTGGCCCCAGGGCCCGGCAGCAGCAAGCGGAGACAGAAGGAGCACCAGAAAGAGCACCACCGGTGGCACAGGCGGGCTTGTAAGGACAGCGCTGGCCGGCGGCCCCGTGAGGGCAGGGCCAAGGCCAAGGCCAAGGCCCCCAAAGAAAAGAGTCGCCGGGTGCTGGGGAACCTGGACCTGCAGAGCGAGGAGATCCAGGGTCGAGAGAAGGTCCGGCCTGAGCTGGGTGGGGCCTCCAAGGCCAAGCCACCCACAGCTCCCGCCCCCCCACCGGCTCCTGCCCCATCTGCCCAGCCCTCGCTGCCATCAGCCCCCGTCCCGGGGAAGAAGGCTAGAGAGGACGCGCCTGGGCCACCAGGCGTCAGCCGGGCCGACATGCTGAAGCTACGCTCCCTTAGTGAGGGGCCCCCCAAGGAACTGAAGATCCGCCTCATCAAGGTAGAGAGTGGCGACAAGGAGACTTTCATCGCCTCCGAGGTGGAGGAACGGCGGCTGCGCATGGCGGACCTCACCATCAGCCACTGCGCTGCCGATGTCGTGCGTGCCAGCAAGTGAGTCAGGAGCCATCACCGCAGGGTGGCCCCAGCTTGCACCCCCAGCCTTGGTCCTTACTCAACTGCCCTCCCACAGGAATGCCAAGGTCAAAGGGAAGTTTCGAGAGTCTTACCTGTGCGCTGCCCAGTCTGTGAAACCGAAGATCAACACTGAGGAGAAGCTACCCCGGGAAAAACTCAACCCACCCACCCCTAGCATCTATGTATGTGTGCCACTGGAGCTCAGGCCAGCCCTGGCAGAGGGTCTGAAACAGTGTTGAGGGGCATTGGGTGGGGAGCTCTCAGCCTGGGACAGGGCTCTGACCCCTGCCCTCCCTCTCTCTGGTCCTTCAGCTGGAGAGCAAACGGGATGCCTTCTCTCCCGTGCTGTTGCAGTTCTGTACAGACCCGCGCAATCCCATCACTGTGATCCGGGGCCTGGCAGGCTCCTTGCGGCTCAGTGAGTGTGCGTGGGGGGGTGGGGGGTGTCAGTGGGGGAGGGCAGCCTGAAGAACCCTCAATGAGCTCCCACTTGAGAAGCTCCGGGCCATGGCTTTCCCTGATCGCCCCCCCACAGTCACACACACAGGTCATTTCTGAGGGGTGTTTGGGGTGCTGTGCCAACTGGCCGCACCTTTGTCTCCTGTCTGCCTAGGGCCAAAAGTGGGAGAGTAGAAGGGCATGTCTATTAGCCTGTTATCGAGTCCATTCTGATTTTGGGGGTACAATTGAGCCAAAGCATACGGACTATAGAAACCCCATAATTGGGGGCATTTTCTCTTTTCCAGTAATTTAAAGATTAAATTACATAAAAGTAGAAAAACATACTATGAACACAAAACGGGCCCTCTATCCCATCAGCAGCCTTCTGTGCGCATGGCTGTGCCTCTCCCCGACTGAATGTTGTGGGAAGCACACTGTTGGCACGCACTTCACTCGGTCTTCAACTGAGTCACTTCCATCAGCACCATTCATTGAGCTCCCCCGGTGCCAGGTGCTGTGCCCATGTGGTGTCCTGCACCCCTGAGCAGGGACGGAGGGCCTGAGGCTTGGAGCAGCTGCAGGGGGGTGGGGGACTGAGGACCCAGGTAGAGTTCTGGCCTGTGGCCACCCTGCTAGGGGCTGCTGGGAGTTCGAAGGGAAAGCTTGGGTTGGGGTCTTGCCCTCTGCCCCGACGCCCTGCATGGCCCTCCTTTGCAGACTTGGGCCTCTTCTCCACCAAGACGCTGGTGGAGGCGAGTGGCGAGCACACGGTGGAGGTGCGCACCCAGGTACAGCAGCCCTCGGATGAGAATTGGGACCTGACAGGCACACGACAGATCTGGCCCTGCGAGAGTTCCCGTTCCCACACCACCATTGCCAAGTATGCGCAGTATCAGGCCTCCTCCTTCCAGGAGTCCCTGCAGGTGAGTGGAATGAAGCAGAACGAGGGCCAGGTGCAGGGGTGCTTGGCTAGAGGGGAGCTGGGGCGGGGAGGGCCCCTGGAAGGCCACCGACCTCGGCCTGGCTACTCCCCTGAGCAGGAAGAGAAGGAGAGCGAGGACGAGGAATCGGAGGAGCCGGACAGCACCACGGGAACCCCTCCGAGGTACGACTCTGCCCACTGCATGTGTGGCTCCTGCCCTCCCCCTGCGGCCTCTCCACCAACCTGCGCTCCTCCTCTCCGCAGCAGTGCGCCAGACCCGAAGAACCATCACATCATCAAGTTTGGAACCAACATCGACCTGTCTGATGCCAAGCGGTCAGTGGGGGAAGGCCAAGGCCAGCCGGGTGGGGGCAGAGTGCTGCTGGGCTGGGCGGCCCCGCTCATCCTTGCTGGCCCTTCACCACTACAGGTGGAAGCCCCAGCTGCAGGAACTTCTGAAGCTGCCCGCCTTTATGCGAGTCACATCCACAGGCAACATGCTGAGCCACGTGGGCCACACCATCCTGGGCATGAACACAGTGCAGCTGTACATGAAGGTCCCGGGCAGCCGGACGCCAGGTACACACTGAGCGTGCGCTAGAAGCATGCTCCTTAGTGGTGGAGATGTCTCTTCCCTCAGCCTATGAGGCACAAGGGGTGGGGTGGGGTGGTTGGGGGAGCCGTCTCTGGTCAGCCATGCCGCTCTGCTGCCCCCCGCAGGCCACCAGGAGAACAACAACTTCTGCTCTGTCAACATCAACATCGGCCCAGGCGACTGCGAGTGGTTCGCAGTGCACGAGCATTACTGGGAGACCATCAGCGCCTTCTGTGACCGGTGTGTGCCACCCTCTGCCAGTCTCCTTGTCGCACGGCGTCCCTGAGCCCTCAGGGCCCCCCTGACCCTGTTGCCACCCGCAGGCACGGCGTGGACTACCTGACGGGCTCCTGGTGGCCAATTCTAGAGGACCTCTATGCCTCCAATATCCCTGTGTACCGCTTCGTGCAGCGCCCAGGAGACCTCGTGTGGATCAACGCGGGGACCGTGCACTGGGTGCAGGCCACCGGCTGGTGCAACAACATCGCCTGGAATGTGGGTCCCCTCACTGGTGAGCAGACAGGTGGTGCAGAGCCACTCAGCCACTGTGAGGGGCAGGCCCCCGGGAACCCCTTGGGGCTGGGGCTGGGGCTGGGCGGTTCCCAGCTCTGAGGAGGAGTCTGGCTTGTGACTGGGGACTGCTCGGGAGTCCTATAGTGAGTGCGCTTTCCGGCCTATGCAGCCTATCAATACCAGCTCGCTCTGGAACGGTATGAGTGGAATGAAGTGAAGAATGTCAAGTCCATCGTGCCCATGATTCATGTGTCCTGGAACGTGGCTCGCACCGTCAAAATCAGCGACCCCGACTTGTTTAAGATGATCAAGTGAGGCCCCTATTGGGGTGGGAGTCCCTCCATCCCTGCCTGTCCCATCCTTGTGCCCTTCCTGAACCCATCCCCTACTGTACTGTCTACTACGTGTCCAGCAGTGTGTGCTGAAGATCTTGCAGCAGGGGAGGAGGCTGCTAAGGTCCCTGGTCTCCTGGTAATTTTCCAGAGGCAAATAGAAAAACCAAAAAAACCCGTGAAAAGTCTGCACGGTGCCAGAGCTCTGAAATGCTATGCGAGTCTGGGCCGGAGCCTGAAGTCTGGCGGGGCCTTTGAAGGAGGGCTCCAGAGCTGAAGGCTCCTGGTGGCTGGCCCCCACCCCACTCCAACTCTACCCTCCCCGGACCCCTCTGCTGGCAGCCCCGCCTCACCACCGCCTCTGCCCCTAGGTTCTGCCTTCTGCAGTCCATGAAGCACTGCCAGGTGCAGCGGGAGAGCCTCGTGCGGGCAGGGAAGAAAATTGCCTACCAGGGCCGGGTCAAAGACGAGCCTGCCTACTACTGCAACGAGTGCGATGTGAGGGCCCTCCTGTGCCTCCCCATCCTGCCCCCGGCCCCCCACGAGTGGCCCGCCCTCCTCACGGCCGCCTCCTTGCCTCCCCAGGTGGAGGTGTTCAACATCCTGTTCGTGACAAGTGAGAACGGCGGCCGCAACACGTACCTGGTGCACTGCGAGGGCTGCGCGCGGCGCCGCAGCGCGTGCCTGCAGGGCGTGGTGGTCCTGGAGCAGTACCGCACCGAGGAGCTGGCGCAGGCCTACGACGCCTTCACCTTGGTGAGCCCCGAGGAGGGCGGGCCGCGCCGCGGCCGGGGGGCCCCTGGCGCCCGCCCCTGAGCCCCCCCCCTTGCCTTCCGCTCCGCAGGCCCCCGCCAGCACGACGCGATGAGCCCGGACGCCCCGCCCAGCGGCGCCGGCCGCGGGGCCACCAGCACACGCCTGGGCTGGACCTAGGTCCCGCCTTGGGCCCGGGAAGGGGGTCGGGCCCAGCCCGTCCTCCCTATTGGCAGCTCCCCTCACTTAATTTATTGAAAAAGAAAACGTTTTTTTAAACAAATAGGAAAAAAGGAAAAAAAAAAAAAAAAGGGAGGCGGGAGGGGGCTGGCAGCCCCGGCCCGCCCGCCAGCGCCCCCCACCGACTTTGGCCTTTCAAGCAACAGACACAAGCCGCGGGCTCCGCGGCGGCGGCGGCGGGGCTCCCGCACGGGTTGGTCCGCGCCCGCGCGCGCACCGACGGGGCGGCGGCCGAGGTGCTGGATGAGTCTTTCTGTGGGCTTCCCCTCCCCCGAGCTTCTTTTTTACGGCCAACGCTAGCTGCGACCCTGTCCGTGTCTGTCCGCTCGGTTATGATTTGTATTTTCTGGATGTTTCTTTTCCGGTTTTTAATTTATAGCAGTCCCACACACCTCTATTTATTCATTTTTGGGAAAACCCGAATTCCCGCGCCCCACGCCATCCCGCCCGCCCGCCGCCGGGCTCCTTGTGCCCCTGTGTGTCCGGGCCCAGTCTGTCCGTCTCCGCCCGCCCGCCCGCCGGCGGCTCCAGCCGGGTTCTCATGGTGCTCAAACCCGCTCCCCTCCCCTGCGTCCTGCACTTTCTCGGACCAGCCCCCCACGCCAGACCTGACCCCAACCCCGCCCGAGGGTGAGCGACTCCTGTACTGTAGGGGAAGAAGTGGGAACTGAAATGGTATTTTGTAAAAAAAATAAAATAAAAAAATTTAAAAAGTTTTAAAGACAGAACTATGAGGAAAACCACCCCCCTCCTCCCCAGCCCCAGCCCATTTTAAACACGGACTTAGTTTTTAAGTGTGAAACAGCCCAGGGCTATGTCCCCCTTCTGGGACAGGGACCCTCAGGGTGAGTTTCTCTGGGGCTTTGTTTTTCGTTTGGTGTCTTTTACCCCCAAATCTCTCCATGCTGGGGCTGCGGAGGGCTGGGGGTTTACAGGCCCGCTCCTCGCACTGCACTGTCTCTCTGCCCCAGGGGCAGAGGGGTCTTCCCACCCTTCCCCTATTTTTGGTGATTTTTGTGTGAGAATATTAATATTAAAAATAAAAGCCGAAAAAAATCCTGTTTCGCTAATGTGCTGGTGATCTGATCGCAGGGCAGGCACGGGGAGGAGGGCGGCAGGGCAAGATGGATGGGGAGGGATTGAGCAGCCCCTGCTGGGCCGGCGAGCCCTCCCAGGAGGCGCCTGAGGAATGTCCAGAGCTCTGGATGGGGGGTGCCTAATCCTAGAGCTGCATTCCAGGATAAGGGGGGTGGGGTGAGGTGGGTGGGGAGAGGCTGTGCCGGGGGAGGGGCAGGAAAGGGCTATAAGGGCCGCGGCCCCGGCGGGAGGGAGCCAGGAGGGCCATGGCGGATATCCCCGGGGCGCAGCGTTCGGTGCCCGGCGGCCCAGAGCCCAGGGACCCCCTGGATTGCTGGGCCTGTGCTGTCCTGGTAACGGCTCAGAACCTGTTGGTGGCTGCCTTCAACCTGCTTCTGCTGGCGCTGGTGCTGGGGACCATCCTGTTGCCCGCCGTCACCATGCTGGGCTTCGGCTTCCTCTGCCACTCCCAGGTGAGCGTGCGGGGCTTGTGTGTGCGTGTACATCATGCTGATGGCGGGCGGTATTTGGTGCCTTTGGTGCTTCCGGTCCACTGGGGCCTTATGCCGCCTTCTCCTCCCACAGTTCCTGCGCTCCCAGGCACCCCCTTGCACGTCGCACCTCAGGGATCCGGGCTTCACGGCCCTGCTGGTCACCGGGTTCCTCCTCCTCGTGCCGCTGTTCGTACTTGCCCTGGCCAGCTACCGCCGCCTCTGCCTGCGCCTCCGCCTGGCCGACTGCCTTGTGCCCTACAGCCGAGCCCTCTACCGGCGCAGGCGTAGCCCACAGCCGCGACAAAACCGATCCTCATCGGGACCCCAGACCCTGTCCACGACCGGAAAGGTCTGGGTCTGAAGACCCCACAAGTCGAGGACTTGAAGCAGGAGCTCCTGACCAGCCCTGCCTGAGCCGGGATCGGCGCGCGCCCCCACCCCGACCAGAAAGAGCTGGAGACTGTGGACCCAATGCTGGTGAAACCCAGGCACAACTCGGAAAACCCACTTTTCTCTCCCGGAATGTCCACACCTGAATCCTAACAATCTGGGCTGGACCCTGCACACCTTACCAAGGTCCCTGTTGTGACTAGGACAGCTGAACTCCTTAACTGAAGTGGCCCCTCTGGCATTTAAGAGGCTGGGGAGGGGGAAGGGCTGCAGCAATTACACTATCAATAAAGACTTAGTCAACTGTTATTCTACTCCCGTAGAGTTACAGCTCTACCCTGTCCTAGGAACTCCTGGATGGTAGGGAGTTCTGCGAGTTGTTTTTTAAACGGTGGTGGGGTCCTGGAGCCAAAAGGGCAGCAGAAATAACATGCGTGCCTAGTGCCCAGAAGCAGGAAATGTGTGCTGGGCTAGGCACGTGCATCCTCCAGTCGCCTGTCCTTCCCTTATCGCATCTGCAGGTTCTTCCTGGCCAGACCCCAGGGGTCTGCCCCTGGCCCCAGTCAGAGTCACCTCCCCATCAATTGAGTGGACAGGCTCAGCCTGTCCTGTCCTGTTCCCCTCGGGGACCTGAGCCCGTTCTTTGACCTCGGCTCAGAGGAACTCAGTGTTGCCAGGCCGGGTAGGAAAACAATGGGCCTTCCGGAGCAGGATGACACCCCATCCGCCACAATCCTGGAGCCACTCCTGTGTGGGAGGAATGAGATGGAGGGCCACCCTAGGGACTATTTTTCCCCCCCGCACCAAACCCCCTTCACCGGGGGGGTAACCTGGCATCCCTGAACGTTCACCTTGGCACAGTCTGGACCTCAGATAAACCTTTACGATGTGGGTGTGTAATCCTTGTCTTGGCTACACTCACGCACGCATTTCCGATACAAGTTTAATGAAGTCTGAAAAGCTTGCGCGATCTGCAGTCAGAGATAGGGAGGCCCCGCCAGGCTCTCTCTCTGCACCTCTATAGAAACGATGTGGTGTCCGGGTACCATTGCCAGACCCAGCACACGGGGTTCCCCGGCAGAAAAGGAATCTGGAAAGAAGGGTCAGAGCATCAGGGAGGCAAGCCAGGGTCAGCCCTGCCCCTCCTGAACCACGACAAGCATCACAAAACAAAGGGTATGACGGGGCCCGATGCCTTCCCTAGGCGGGTGTGCATTCCCGGGACACTGACCCGACGGCTTGAGGAACTCCTGCGCTGAGCCTAGGATGACATTGCAGTCGCGATCGGTGCAGAGGAAGCAGCCGACCAGAGTCCGCCCGTCGGTCATGCGAATGCGCATAGTCTTGTTAAGAAGCGCCTCCAGCTGCTGCCGGGCACGCGCGGCCGGCGAGTCCTCCTGCTCTCCATCCGTGTCCTGCACGGGGCGGGGCAAACGCTCACACCACGCAGCCCTTAGCAACCGCCCCCCCCGCCCGCAAAACCACAGCTCCCGGCAGCCCGGGGGACATTCACATGGAGCCTAGAGGCTGCCGGGAGCTGTAGTTCTCCAGCCTCCACCCACCTCGCCCTCCCATCTTGCTGTCCGCCTGCCCCGCGCTCCCAGACCCCAAGCCCGCGCTCACCCCAGCGCTGGAGCTGCTTTGACGTCGGCTACAACACCCATTCTCCTCTCGTAGCAGCATCGTGGGCCCAGCTCCGGCCATTTACTCTGGGGCCTCCTCCCGGCCCTCCAACTTCCCGAAAACCTTTCGGGTCGGTGGCCTGAGATCTCGCGAGCGCTCCCAACCTCCTTTCCTTCCGCGAGATCACTTCTTTTCTCCTGCTCGTCTCCTCGGCAACTGCAGAGATCTCGCGATCTTTCCCGGCGCTGGAGCCGAAGCCTAGTACATTGGGCGTCTTAAGATATCGCGAGAAAGCATCGCTTTCGTTTCTAATACATCTTTTAGCAGCCCAGGCATTTTTAGCGAGACGATTTTCTTTCAGAACCTTCTGCCTCGCGAGGTAATGTGTACCACATATTCCGGTAGCTCTGACCCGAAATCAACTCGACGGCAAAGAGTTTGGGAGTCTTTGGGGGGACGTTTTATGTGCCAGAGCCTGGCACCTGGAAGACACTGCATTTCCCGTGAGCACTTGCAGCCCAAGCCCTCCCCTTCGCGACGCAATGGTTGATCTCAGTGGACGGTGGCCGGAAAAGGACAATGGTCTCCATGCCAGCGGGTAAACGCGCTCCCCTTAGCTCCTGACTTTGGAGGCAGATGTCGTTGTGAGAATTTTCTGGGGAGCAAAGGAGCAGTTGAGGAGCCGGTGACTCGTGGAGCCAGAATCATGCGGCGCCGGGGCTTAGTAGCCGGGCCAGACTTTGAATATTTCCGCCGTCGCTATTTCACGCCAGGGGAGGTGGCCCAACACAACCGGGCCGAGGACCTCTGGGTGTCTTACCTGGGCTCCGTGTATGATCTGACGCCGCTGGCTCAGGAGTACAAGGGTGAGCGCCCGCCGTGGGGCCGGGGGTGTTGTGGGGTGGGCGCCCGGCTCTTGGCAGTCGGAGTGACGGCGGCTGCTCCTTCTCAGGGGACTTACTGCTGAAACCCATCGTGGAGGTTGCAGGCCAGGACATCAGCCACTGGTTTGACCCAAAGACCAGAGACGTGAGTGGTGCTTGGACCTGGGGGCGGGGCGGGAGGGGCGGCTGGAGCCCCAGACAGTGACTGCCCGGACGTCCGCGCCCCTGCCCTGCTTTAAAGATTCGCAAGCACATAGATCCTCTGACCGGCGCCCTGAAGTACCGCACCCCGCGGGGTCGCTTCCTGCACATCCCCCCTCCGCTGCCCCGTTCGGACTGGGTCAATGATTTCGGGAAGCCCTGGTGGCAAGGGTCGCGGTACCAGGTCGGGCGACTGTCCCAGAAGACCCGCCACATCCGCATCATTAACACGCTCACTTCGCAGGAGCACACGTTGGAGGTGAGAACTGGAAGCCGGGGTGGGGGCACCGGAGGGAGGGAGCTGGGAATCCTAGCCGACCTCCTGGTGGACCATCAGCTCTCCCTAACAGGAGGGACTTCCCCTCCTGCCTCCCTCCACAATGCCCACCCTACTGGGGCCTGAGGGAAAACACACCACCAGGTCCCAGGGTTGGCAATCCCAGGAGCATCTGGGTCTTCATAAGCCCGGCAGGGGTTACAATGTTGGTGATGATGGGCCAGCCGGCAGGTGGACTCTCCTGTTAGCCTGTCGTCAGGAGGAGGTGAGTGTCCGGCAGCTTTGGCACGACTGTGGATCCCAGCTCCATCATCCCGTGGGCTCTTGGCTTTAGCTTGGCTGTGGGGTCTGTGTTCCATTCAGATTTCTGGGGACTCAGTGCTTCTGTGTACTCTAGGTGGGGGCCCCGGAATCAATGTGGGAAATCCTACACCGCTATCTTCCCTATAATGCACATGCCGCCAGCTACACATGGAAATACGAAGGGAAGGAGCTGAAAATGGACAGTACTCTGGAGGAGAACGGCATCGGGGATGAAGACGAAGAATTTGACCTGCTCGACATGGACAGTGAGCTCTATACACCGGCACTGCTGCTCTACTTCAACGATGACCTCACGGAGCTCTAGGGAAGGGTTCCGATGCTTCCATACACTGGAGACCTATTTTGAGTTTGGCTGTTTCTAGGCCCCGAAGGAGAAGGAAAAGAGGGGGTGGGAAGTGTCTGTATCTAGACCTCCACTCTTCTCACAAAACTGGCCTATTTGGCTCAGGAAAGGTCCTCTACCCCACATCCGTTACAATGGGGGAGAATCATAGAAGTGAATTCATTGATTTTTAATGATACAAGGAAATGAAGATTATTAGGAAGATGTAGAAAAGCATGTCAGATAGAAATTAGGGAGGACTTTTTTGATAGAAATGGAAGTCCTACACAGGGATGAGGTAGCGTATACACATACATACATACATGGCGGTAATGAGATACCTGCACAAAGTTAGCAATAGGAAATCTCTAAGTTGACCATACAAAACTGGACTCTCTGGTAGCTACCAGGTAATTCAAGCTAGGTGTTCTATGTACCCTTTTTGATACAACTACTCACTAAGCTGGTGACAACTACCATTTACTTTCGAGATGTCTTCTGAGACTTGGAAATATTTAATAGCACGAGAGCACACCTAGTTAGTGACCAGCAGAGCCAGATTGGAAAGCCGTGTCCACCGCCCCAAAGCTCTTGTTCTTCTCCATGGAAAGGGACAGTAGCCTCAAGTCTGGTGCATGCCAACATTTGTACCCGCTGCTTGCAGACCACGCGCTGGGGGTGTGGGTTTGTGTCAGGAGGCCAGTTGTGCGCTGGGGCCCTGTTATGTAGCCAGCCACTCTGGGGAGTGAGCCGTGTTCTTCAGTGGCAAAGAGCCAGGGAAGGGCAAGTGGCCTCTAGCAACTGAGGCCAATTCCATAGCACACTTTCTCCCCTGGTGTTTTGAGACTAAGAGGTGGATTCTTCCTCGAGGAAACAGTGGGGGAAGGGCCTGGGGAGTGGACCACTTTGGACGGAGGAGCAGATTAGGGCAAGCAGGGAACTAAGGTCAGGAGCAGCTGCGCACCTAGGGAAGGGGAGGGAGACGGGCTGAGTCTGCAGAAGGGATTTGAGAGAAGTAGAGGAGCCAACAAGTCGGACAACGCGCAGTGACCAAAAGAGAACAGCCCTGGGGCAGCAGCCAGATCCGACAGCTGTAAGCGTAAACTTGGGAGTTTTCTGAGGGGCTAAGGAGGAGCCCTGGTGGCACAGTGGTTCCTTGTCAGTTCGAAACCACCGGCCACTCTGTGGGAGAAAGAGAAGGTTTTCTACTCCTGTAAAGGTAGTTGGAAACCCACCGTGGCAGCTGTACCCTGGCCTGTGGGGTCGTCGTGAGTTGGGATTGACTCGGAGACACGAGGTTTGAACAAAGGTGGACACATCCTTATTGCCTTCAGCAGCATCCGAGCTTACTGGGAGACCGAGTGCTTCGCTTCCCTCCCGTGTAACGCAGGAGTCCATGAGTTATCTGAACCGATCGTTCTGATGCTTATTGAACCCAGCAGTTGTTTCACCTGTATCTTGTTTGCTTAGTTAAACCCTAAACACTGTTAAGAACTGAAGAAGATTGTTCTCTGTGACAGCCGCAGGGCTCTTGTGTGCCCAGGTGGTATGCCCATTTTCCTGCCTGAACCTGCCCGCTCCATTCTTGTGCTTCAGCATCTCTCACCAGAAACACCCCTCTCTCCACACAGCCCGTAATGATCTCTGCAGCCCGTCTTCTTTCCTCTAAGCCACCATACCTCTTGCCTGAGCTGCTCTAGAAGCTTCCCAACCTGTCCCTCATTTCCACCTGCCCTCCACACACCAGCGTGATCTTTGAAGAACAAGTATAACCAGTGAACCTTCCTGCCCCCAAGCCCTCTGTGACTCCCAGTTGTTTTTGGAATAAAGACCCAACGGCAGAACCTTGCGTAACTGAAGCCTGCATGCCTCATCACCCGCGCACGCCCCATCCCTTAACAGTCTTCTTTGTTCGCTGTGCGAAGCCACACTGCTGGCTTTCATTCCAGAAGTGTCTTCCTGTGCCATCACACAGACTTTGCATCTGCTTGGCAACCCCGCCCCCTCACCCCCCATGGACCCAAGACGTTTCTTTCTCAAGGAGGCCTCAGACTTTTTGGTCAAGGTCAAGACCAACAGAACCAGTTGCCATCAAGTTGCTTCTGACTCATGGCAACTCTTAAGAGTCCCAGTTAAAGAAGGCTTTTCTGAGAGCCGTGAAGTAAGCACTGGGAGTACGTGCTACCTGTCGTTCCAAAATGAAGGGTGTGATTAACTGCCAGGATGCTAGATTGGAAGCCCTAAGGGCGGAGACCCTGTCCCTCTTGTTCACTGCGGCTTCCTGGGGCTGGACACCCAAATTGCTGGTCAATAAAATTTGTTTGGCAGAACGGAAATGTTTAAGTGAATTTATGTGTAGTAGGTCACGAACAGGGTGTTGTGCCCTGGGAGGCAAGGCCAAGAAGAGGTCATGGGACAGGGGTCTCTTTCTGACAGACCAAAAGTTGCTTGGGACAGACTCTTCCTTTCATCAGATTTTTTTTTTTTTTTAAGCAACTCACCTGTTATTTCCCTGTATGGCCACCAGGTGGCTGTAATGGCCCACGAAATCGGAAGGGCCCAGGGGAGGAAAACCTGAGATTTATGGTAGGGAGGGCAACACGAACTCCCTGCGGTTGAGGCCACTTTAACTCATAGCGACCCTCGGAAAAACCACATGGACACAGTTCTACTAGAATCAGATTTATTCCAGCGTTTGAGAATGTTATTTTTTGAGAAATTTATTTTTTACAAGTACAGTAAAAGTGCAATTTGAAAAGTAAAACATTGATATTGGGATATGACCAGTAGGAGGTTGTAATTTCAGGTGTGCTGTGTATAGGCTGACACAGAGCTGAAACAAGGCGTGAACATCAAGGGGAAAAAACAGACAACTAAATTTTAAAAGAATAATAGTAATAACACAGCTCAGTTTGAAAGTAATTTGTGTATGAGGCGGGGAGGGGGGCTCTAAGATAGATGTGGTGATTGTACAACTCCCCTTGATGTGTTTGAACGATCGGACTGTTCAATTGTGTGATACGTGAATTATATGCCAGTAAAACTTGAAAAAATATTTTTTTTT